AAAGTGAATGTCTTAGTAATATAATGTCAAGCGTTATGTCTGTATTTCAAGTAATCAAAGTTGGATTATGTCTATATTTCAAATAAAATGGAATGACATGAAATTCAACAATTATTACTAGGGATAAAAGGTAACAAATTAATGTCAACAAATGCTATCATCGATCATGAATTATTTAATGCATCATGTATTATAACAATCACAAAATTCTAAAATTCTACCCTTAAAAGTAATCAATTTTATCCAAAAAATAATAAATAAACAAAAAAAATAAGTGAACTCAAAAAATAAGTGCACCCTAAAGTAATTAAATTCACTCAAAAGATGAAAATCATAAAATAATTGCTTAAAAAGGAGTAAGTAGTATGCTACAACTCAAAAAATTCAGAATGGAAGCATAGGTTGTTGCGAAATAATAATAAACTAAAGAAGTCCGAGATCGATCCACAGAGAATTGAGAAGACTTGGAATGCAAGAAAAATCTCTTTAAAAGTTGGTCAGAGAAAAGTGATTGTTCAAAAGAACAACAATTGATTGAATAAAAACAATAATTTGAAATACTAAATCATTGGGGATATCCTTTCAATTCTACACAGTAATTATTAATGATTCAATTTTTGAACTCAATTGGAAATCAACTGAGGAGCGATTTCAATCGGAATATTTATCGGTGATAATATGAAAATATCAAAAGTTATAACCTATAAATTATCCAAATAAATCTACGAATTCATATGTAGATTACAAGCATTCATTGTGCCTGGAGTTTACAATAAATCAAGTTCTCTAGCAAATAAACCCTAAATCTATTGAAAATAATAAATCAATTATATTATGAAAATTCTCTTAATTAATTCAAGCATGAAATAACTAGTTTTTTGACTCGCAGGAAATTTCAAGTATATTAAAATCAGTTACACACATATTAATTAAAGCCAACCAAAACCAAAAAAAAATATATTCGATCATACATATTGACATCCAAAACAAACCCCAAACATATTATATTCCATCTAAGTATTCACACGCACAACCAACCACAAATTATAACAATGAATCAAAGCAACCAATTCAAAAAACAAAATCAAAATACATAAATTCTTTATGTGGCAGTGTGTGTGTGTGTGTGTGAAGAGTGTGCATTGTGTGTTAGTTTGTGAAGTGTGTGTGTGTGTGCGCGCGCGTGTGCATATGTGTGTGTTGGAAGAGTGTGTGCCTCTGACGTGTGAAGAGTGTGTGTGTGTGGCGTGATTGTGTGAAGTGAAGTTTACGCCTCACAGGGAACTTTACAAATCAACTTAAACTTCCAGGGAACTCATTCATACACCTAGAAAAGAATACGTGGCATTGGGAGGTGATTGGCTCATGGCTTCTAGCGGTAAAGAAAAGGAAGAGAGAGAGAGAGAGACTTTTTGGCGCCGTCCCCTGTTTGTAATGTTTAACAGTATAGTTACAGTAATATTCTTAAATTATATTATTAGCATAATATTAAATTAATAAATTAAGTCATATTTTTAATTCACATTACTTAGCCAGGCAATGGGCTGCACTTGGACTTTGGCAGTGACTTCATTGTCGTGAACTTGCTGACAGGACAGTGTGAGAAGCTCCACCACTCGGCAATGAGGTGGTCTTCATCACATATAGAATCAGCAAATCCATGTAAGGATTAGACGTACAACAAAAGTAAGATACATCCATTTTTAATGTCCCACCCTATAGGCAACGTACTCGCCGGTCCTTTATGTTTCCTCAAAAGGCATTAAAAGGGGGTCACTCATAATATTCGATGCGCTACCAATTGAAAACTGTGGGATCACTTTTGGGTCATTACTAAGGATGTACAGTGACAGATATAAATACAACCCCACATGTCCCAAATAAATTCCGATTTGAAAATTCAAGTTAGTTCATTTCTGAAATGAAATGAGCCGGGTTCCAACATAATCTTGAGCTCGATTTGTTTAATAAAATGAGCTGCTGAATAATATGTTTAAAACTCATCACGATTCCAAGCCGTTCTCGAGCATTCTCCACACAAACGAAGAAGTCGAACCCAACAATCTGATAATCGACTCTACATTGCTGTATCAAAGTTTTGTATTTTTTGGGTTGGAGAAAAGGAGATGGGGTACTTTGAGATGATGCTAAATTCTGGATTGAGATTTTATAGTAGGAATTCCGCCTTCGGCCCAGTCGCAACCAGAGGTCTTTACGGTGGAGAAGTTTGGTTCAAACTGCATTATCCACTCTAACTTCGGGTTTGTCTAATGTAAGGCTGCAAGTTGGCCAAGTTGAATGATCAATCCAATCCCAAATCAAATTATAAAGCCCTCAATACGAACCTGAACTCAACCCGTACAGCTTGATCGGGCTCAACCCGAGCCTATATTATTAAACCGGGTTCAATTTTTTAGTTAAATTCGGGTTGTTAAATGTAAATACTTTTAACTCATATATTAAACTCAAACAGCCCAATGAAAACTGCACTTATTAAAACACATGCCGAATGAAGTTTTTTTTTTTTTTTTAATATACAAGTGGAGGGAGAGACATTTTTTGTTTGACCGATGTGGGATTTTAATTTGGACATCATCTTTTGTTCTTTATTCAGCATCCGACATAGGTTCAATAAGGGAGTTTGCACTCCCTATAGTGCCATAAAAGGTTCTTGATGAGTGTGAGTAACACACATTATTTTGCTGTGTAGTCCTTTATATACAAGCAATGCACGACGTACGTTGCTTACAAACAATTTAAATAATAATTTTTTTGTTGAATCTATGAAAATATAAATTTTATGTGTAATTAAATTAAATGATAAATTTGGTGTCAAAAAAATAATATACATTTTATTTGTTGTTAAACCTATTTATTGAAAAATTATATATCTATATAATAAAGTACAATACAATTCAAATCTCAAAAGATAAACAAAATAATTTTTATTTTTTGCGGTTGATATCTCTTTAAATTTTACCCTAAAGTTAATCCGATTGCAAATATTAACATTTTAAATTTAATAGGGAAAATAAGCCTCTAAATATGTATTTGAGCTGACTTTTTAAAAGTACTTATAGAATTTATAATTACTTTAAAAAAAATTGTATTTAGAACCGCTCCGCCACTACCACTACCACCGCTGCCACTATCTCCACCTCTGCCACAACAACCACCACCTCCACCGTTGTTGTTGCCACCACCACTATCGCCACCCCACCACACTAACCTTTGCCGCCACCACCACCACCACCATCACCGTCGTTGTCACCACTGTTGCCGCCACGACCACTACTATCACCATCCCACCCCCGCTGCCGCTGCTCCACCATCATCGCCACCAATCACCAATTGCTATTACCATCGTCTATCACCACCACCTACCACAATTTTCATCTCATTCTTATATTTATTACCATTATCATCATCGACCACCCTTAACACCCACCACTACCATTGTTGCTCACCACCACTTATCGCCGCCTACTATCACAACCCACCACCACCCACCATCGTTGCCGGTCACTGTCACCCACCCCCACCAAACTTACCACCACCAATCATCATCGCCCACCACTGTCGCCACCCACTGTAACCCATTCCCACCACACCTACCACCACCACCACTGCTATTTACAACAACACATCACACTGTCGTCCAGAAGGCACCCGTCGTCGTCCACCACCTCTATCTTCACTGCCCACCATCGACGTCGCCCCACCTCCACCACCATCACCGTCGCCCACAACCACTACTGTCGTCACCCATGACTTTCACTTTACCATTGTCACAAAAATCCACCACTAGCATCAGCATTGCCACCTATGACTGCCACCATCACCATAGTCGTCGCCACCTACCACAACCATCATCGTCTCCTATCGCCACCACTATCACCGTTCAACCCCACTATAATCGGTGTTTAAATTCTTTTCTTTGCTCTATGTTTGTAATTTGATTTTGGGTGTGAATATAAATATATTTATTATTGGCATTTTGTTTATTGTTATGTGCCTTCAAGCACAGGCAATAACTAATAACACATATTTGATCTTAGAATCTAATTTGATAACTATATGTATATAATAATATAATATAGATTCGTATTTGCTTCTTCATATAGATATAAACAAAGATATGAAATTTTTTATGCAAATGTACTACTTAGTCCAAAAGAATTTAGAAGTTAAATACTAATTATAAAAGAGTTCAAAAGAATTCGAAAGTCAAATTAGGTATAAAAACAAAAAATATATGAAGGTATAAGGATATAATTAATTTTATAAAAATTAGGCTAATACTGTGTGACGCACGTGAACATATTTAAATAATATATTTTTGTTAAACTTATAACAAATATAGATTTTATTTATAATTGAATTGAATAAATAAATAAATTATGTGCCAAAGGATTAATTCATATTTTAATTTTTACTTAACTTCATTATTAATGTATACATGTATTATACAGTAATTGGAATTGTTAGAGTTATTATTTTAATTAAAGTCTTAAAGTTATAAGAATAAGTAGAGCGAAAGACTAGGAGGAAAAATGATGACATATTAATAAGAATATTTGATGTATGATTAACTTAACATTATTAAATAGAGATGAAATAGAAAATCACATTTTTTTCACCTATTCTACATTTATAAATAGTATAGATATCTATATAATAAAACAGAAGGGCATTTGAATCTTATACCCCATATATTTTTTCCCCTAAAACCATCACTTCTCACCCATCACCTCCATCTTAACGTTACATTGTCTCTCACCTGTACACAGCCGCCTGACACACGCACCCATCACTGCCCCCTCACTTGCACCCATCACCTCCCTTCTTTTCCTCTAACCCTCACCTGCACCCAGCCACATTCACGACGCCTCAAAACGAAAGACCCAAAGAACAACCAAACCCAGATCACATACCCTTCATAGAGCTCCTCTGGTTCTTCCTAATGGCATCATATATCAAATTCCTCTTAATTCCAGCCTATGAGCAAACAAGAAGATGTAATCGCCACTGAACCCTCGATCTCCATCGTCACTGAACCCTCGATATGGGTATCCAAGACCCTAGCTGAAACCTTAGCTCAAAAGAACCCTCGATCTCGATCTCCATCGCCACTGAACCCTTCACAAACCTACATAGCAATATGGGTAATGCTTGGTCTTTGCTCATTTCGAACACTTCCTCTCTCTCTCTTTGCTCAATTCATCGACCCCACCATGGTCCACCTCCAAAACGACCTCAGTTACAAGTCCCATCTCACCATTTTCATCTCTGACTTTGTTGTTGACTCGAAATTTGGAGAGAAGAAAGTGAAATTTGGTCTGGGTATTGGTGATTCGAACTCCAGATGTTTGTAGTATTGTTTCAATGAGGTGGATTTGTCTATTTGTTTGATTTTTTAATAATTGCTCAACTCTTTAATTTTTATTTTTTTGTCCATATTTTGCTATCCATACTGTGGTGGTGGTGGTTATGGCACTGGAGATGTTGTGGTGGTTCTCTGGTTGGCGGTGTTGTGGTAGAAGAAGAGAGTGGAGTTGGCAGTGGTTGTGGGTTTGCCGGTTTGGTATGGAGTTACCTTTTTCTTTTTCTTTTTAACTCATCTTTGGCTTAATGATGGTGGTTTTGCAGAATAGGTACTGAACATGAAAAGTTCGGTTTTGATTTTGGAACTTTACGCCCCATGAAGTACAAACAAATTGCAGAGTTGCTCAGCGCAAGTTATTTCTTCTTCGATAGCTTTGTGGTTTCACCATTTTTGGTACTTTTCTTTGATAGTATGTGGGTTTGATGCCTTTTGTTGATTTTCTAATTTTTGATCCATCTATTGCAAAGTGAGCTTTGATTTTGATGGGTTTTTATTTGATTTCTTTCTGTGGGTTTCTACTGGTTTCTTTCTATGGGTTTCTACTAGTTGCTAAGAAAAGGATGAGAGAAAATATTATGGAACTTGAAAGCTTAGAGCTGATTTTTCATATACTCACCATTATGGTTGCTAAGCGTTATTCCATATACTCTCCATTGGTGAAGCTGATTTTTCAGTTGTTAAAGATAAAAAAATTATCAATAAATCAGTATGTTTTGACGAAGTTCCTCCATTTTTCTTGCTTTAATTTTTATTGTCTTCATGAAGCATTAAATTGTTGGTTGCTTAATCTTTTTGGTTTTTTGATTCATTTGATGTGATAGCAATGTGCTTGGCTTTGGAAGGGTTCTAGGAATGTGTATGTAATCTTTGGTTATGGTAATTGATTCTGTCGACTAAGTCTGTTTTTCTTTAAAAGGTACTTAGGGAAAAGGATTGTTTTCCATTTATGTTGTATGAAATATGGTGTTGTTCTAGGATTTTTGTAGTCTGAGAATGTGGGTGTGGTTTTATTATATTTGTTCTATAATCAGATGTCCTTTAGGTGAAACCTACACAATTCAGTTGTAAAAGTTCTTCATATAGTTGTCCATCCTTTTCTATGGTCTTTCTGTTCAGTGTGTTTAAAATTCAATGTATAGTGTTAGCTTTGCTTTCCTATTGAAACTGTGTGGGAAGGCTACTGATTTAGGGCTGAGACTTTTTGATAATACTATTGCAGGAACTTCTTAAGCTATCCAAATATTGGTGTTTGAAAATTTTATCATATGGTTGCTCTTGGTTTCAAATGCCACATAATCCGCCCATTCATTCACACAAATTTGGTTGCGATGCCATTAGTAAGTTGGTTCTTTAGGTTGTTGCTGATGGCTCTTTCTAGTTCTTTAGGTTGTTGCTGGTTGCGATATATTTGAATTAATTGGAACTATAGGTTGTTGCTGATGCCTTTCTCTCTGTCCAAAACTGATCTCATTGTGATATTTGAGCTTGACTAGGTGATCAATGATGTTTTTACTGCCTGTTTACTCATGGCAATAGATCAAGCTTCACATCCTTTTATCATAGGAATTCATTTTTGGAAACATTTGCTCCATTTATGTTGCCTGAATACTCTTCTCTGTTTATTTTGCTCTTCACATTAATTTGTAAATTGCAGCTTCGTACAAGAATTTGCAAGGAAATCAAGAAGAGTACAAGCCTACATGGGGCTTACCGTTTGTTTCTATTAGAGTCGTGAGACTTGGAAAGTTTCAGGAAACCTTCCATGTAAGATGTTTTGTTTAAATTTGTTGGTTTCTTTTTGATATATCAACTCCGAGTTTTTTTTTTTTGGAAAGTATACATACTAGATGATTATCGTGGCTCCATTTTTTGATTACCAAAATTTAGTATTAATTTGGTGTTTATTTGCTTCAATTCAAGTTCTTTCATTTTCCATTTCCTTTATTATCATAGTTGGCTTCAAGTTCGGCAGCAACAAGGTTTAATTCAATCTTTTTGGTTGCCATGAAAGAAGAGAAATAAAAGCGATTAACATTTTTGAAATTCATGTCCTATTTTTTTATTTGATTTTAATAACCAATAACAACTGCTTGGTGCTTAGAAGAAAGAAAAAATTTCCTTTGAAAAAAGTGGTCATTTGGTGAATGATATCGAGTTTTGTCCATTTTTCTTTTAAAAAAAGTGATTATCGTGATTTATTATTAGAATTTTTATTTTTCATATAGATAATATTTTGTTAATCATTTATGTAAAATGCGAATGTATTAAAGGATGCATTTTAGGCTTTCAACTTAGTGCCAGTCCAAGTTTATTGCTTGATATTTTCGTGTTCACGATTAATATTCAGTGTTCGTTCATTTGTGCGTGTCTATGTTCAATGTTTGATTGTTCGTTTTCAAGAGCATTTAGGCTTTCAACTTAGGATATGTCTGAGTTTAGTGCTTGATTATTTTGTGCCCAAATTCAGTGCTCGATATTTTTGAATTGCACTGTGCCTTCAGCTACGGGTTATCCCTAGTAGATATATATTTTAAATGTTTAAATGTCACCCATTATTTTTTAATGCTTAAATAAGAACTCGGGTCGAACCGATTTTTAATAGTTTGGTCCGGGTTCAGGTTGACCCCCGTGAACCCCAAGTCCAGCCTGCATTCAATTTGGGTTAATAATATTTGGCCAAATCTCAACTCATGTTCTAGAAAACTCAAACCAAACACTGATTTTTTGGAACTGGTTCAGGTTTGCCCACCTAAGTTACACCTGTAGTCTAATGGTAAGATATCTGAAAAATATTTGTCAACAAGAAAAACACAGACACACAGGAATGTCACGGAGCATAAAGACTTTTGTGTTAAGTGTTTACTTGTTCCAACTCTTCCAAGTATGATTCGCTATCGACAACAACTAGGAAAAAGCACCGAGGCGCTATGGTCGCAACGTAGTGAACTAATTATAGGTGATGCGTACAAAATACTAGATAAAGAAGAAGTTGAACATGGCCAGAAATTCAAACAAATATCATGATGTTCTAAAATAGTGTTAACCAATTTGGTAACTCGGGTTGACTCAAAGACGATTGTGGTGAGTTGGGTAAGACACGTTAGGATAAGATTTCATTCACGAAGTTAGGAGTTCACATGATTTTAAGTTTTTGTCTTGCAAGAGAATCCTAGTT